TTACTATTTAATACTTTTATTTCGAAACAATACTCATGTATTATTTTTAAAACCGTTTTTTTTTTCGTGCGTAAGTACATTGAAGCATGTTAATGAAGTATTAATTTTTTGTCTACATTTTATCAAAAGAATTCAGATACACTAAAATATGATAAATAAATACTTGCGAAAAATTTCAGTTTGCAGCGCCTACTATTTTTCGAGAAAAACGCTTTGTACACGACAACCCTCGTATACTGCTCGAAAAAAAAGATAGAACAAAAGAATAACAAAATATTTTTCTGTCTCTATTTTCCGTCGTCTCAAGTCACGATCGGAGTCTGTATATAATGCGCATGGAGCTTTCTCCAGAATGGGAGTGGATCGTACATTTTGGCTATGGTATGCGATGATGGTATTTCTCATACGTAATATTCTAATATTTATGCAATGACCCTGCAAATCATTGCGCAATACATATTTACTGCTTTGTGAGCACACCAGAAGACTGACCTAAATTTAGCCCACTAAAATCGCATAAAATCCTAATAATAGTGTTATTTCATGCACATGTATTTGAGTACCTTTTTTGTACCCCTTTAAAGGGTAAATTTACTAGAGGCACGTAACTTAGAGTTTCTAAATAGAAATGAAATATATGGGTAAATTGTCCGTTATAGTCTTTGTAATTATAGCTTTGACAAATTTTTATCCGTTGAGTCGTTTTTGTGTCCGAGATAATCAGACAAAGTCTTATTTTTAATTACTAGAATGGTAATAAACTTAGCAAATTTTATGGCATCATATATACCTCCAACAACCATTTTATTAACTGATTAAGATGTAGTGATCTTTTTTCTTCTTTCCTAAAATACATATGTTCGTTTTACTAATATAGCATCGTAAACAGATATAAGAAATTCAAACAAAAAGACAAAGTTTGTTAAATTTCAATAAACTATTTTTAAGTTTTATTGTAAAAAAAAAAAATTCACAAAGCAGTATTCAAGAAACAGCCGTGTGTTGTTTAGCAATTACTAGTATTTGATTTCGGAGTTAGATAGTGAAACAATCATACAATGACATCTTCAAATATTTTTCAACAATTAATTGGTAATTTTAAAGAAACACAATGTGCGTACGAAACGGATTTTTCGAACATGTGATACGCAAATACACCTAATAGTAAACTTGACAGAACTTAAATATAATACTTATATTTTTTTTAAATATGTATGCTTTATAAATTTGATGTGTACATCAATACCATGATAAAAGAGATAACTCATAATGACATGTCTATAATTCCTTTATAGGTTTGCAAAGTTCAAGTGTTTTTTGTCCAATTTTGTTCGTAACAAAATAACATACATATATTTTACATATAAATACATTTCTTTTAGAAAATCATTTAGGTTCGAGCAATATTTAATATGAGTGAGCAGTGGGTTTATGAACCTTAATTGTTTAACAACTAAATTTTATAACAAACGAGTTCGAGATGGCTTCCACTTTTCCAATTTTCCTTACTTCTGTAATATGGTGTTGAAGTATCCCATCTTAATCACTTCTAAGGAGCTTGCGCTGAGTACAGTCACTTTTTAAAGCGATATAAGTAGATGTGCTGTTACAAGAATTTCAATAGCTTTGTTTAAAGTCAGCATTTATTTTGGCTGAAATTTTATGGTCGTTATAATAACGACCCTGTTAGCAGATATAATCGATCATTGGGTCATGTTTTGGCTGATTGGTTTCATACCATTTGTAAGGCCTTTGTTTTTATAATGAATTGGCTTTGGAAAGTTTCGTTTTCCTGATCAATATACTGTAGAAGTACTCCGCGTGGTATAAATTTACGCTATCACAAATTTTCCGCGGAAATTTGTCCAAGCGTATGTAATATAAATGTAACACATGTAGTGAAAGTCTAAGAAATCCGCGTAATTTTCTACCCGCGGATTAAACAGAAATTGAGATTCCGCGGAATTATGACCCCGTGAAAAAAAGTACATCTACAGTATAAGGCTCACGGCGGATGTGACTGGTCAACAAGGGATGCTTACTCGTCCTAGGCTTCTGATCCCATCTATTGAATCTCCAGGGGTCCCCGCTTTGCCCTCATACTTGTATTGTTTATGGATTGTTTGAGGTCAATAACTGATTGTTATCTTTACCTTTTACATTATAAAATTTCCGGTTTAAAAAAGTATTCGTATTTCAAAGAATAGATTTTTTTAATTATACATGTACATTAATATGAAACATACAGGAATAGTGAACATATACAATATTACGTACCTTATTTCATATCATACTCTGTATCAGCCCGATACACCATGGACAATGGTATTGGTGGAGGGGTAATACAGGATGTAATGTGGAAAAACAAATTTTACTTAAATATCATGCAAACAATAGCAGTGATTGCAGCCATTTATATCGCAGGGTATAAACATTATACTTTTAATGAAATATCACGAATTGAAATTTTAAGAAAGACTGACATTGTTTAAACATAATGGAAAAAAATACTGCAACTGTAGCACGTAAAAGACAAATTATATTTCATTTAAGATAACAACATTTGTCAGTCATTCCCGTATAATTCATACATTTGCCAAGTCCATAGTATTGAAAAACGAATTGAAGAGCAATGACATAATTTTGTGTTTGATTGATAAAGTAAACATCCTTTATTAATAAAATGAAATTTCACACGTAAATCTTTCTTCGTTTTGTTTTTATGGCTATTCCAACTCGCCGCATGCAAGAACTCCGTAACGGAGGTTATAACTCAGAAAAAGCAGCTGTAAAGTTTTTAAAGTCTTTGTTCATGTTTTACTTTTTATTGAACTTTGAAGCTTTATCAATATACAATTAAATTATAACAGAATAAAATCTGAACTACAAACAAAAAAAATATTGACTAAATATGTGTAAATCGAGATAACAGAATTTTTGGACCAATAAAATAGACACTGTTTTCCAGTAGGAGTATTGCCAACCAAACAGAATATTACTTAACTTGACCAGTTGATTTTGAAAAATGAAAGGATATATCTTTAAAATTAAATACATTTTCTGATTATAAATTGACCACTTTTTAAAAGAAAAGTTGGTATACAAATTGCTTCCAAATTGTAACGGAGGTTACACAAACTCGTTTTGAAGATTAAGAGATAAATATACTTTGTAAAACGTGTCAAACACACTTTAAAAAGAATGTATATACACAATTAAGCGAAGAACTAAACAATTTCCCCCCTTTTTTTGAAGTAATTTACCGAAAAGTGTGTTTCGTTATGGAGGTTATTCTGAATATTTACAAAAGGAGTAAACCGTATTTTAGACTTCCTATTGGCTTTATAAACTTACGTTGCTCAGTATTACTGAGGGTCAATCAACTTAATCAAATATTTATCAATATATTATTGTCTTTTTTAACCGTAATGTGAAAGTGAAGATTTAAACTTCTATAACCTCCGTTACAAAATATAAAACCTTCGTTTCGAAGAATCGGCGTGAATGAGTGTAATGGTGAATTTAAATAAAAAACAATAAGAAAGCATACTTATTTGTAAAAAAAAAAAGGATAAAAAATATTTTATTTAATTATTTAACGTTTTTTAGGGAAATACATTTAAATTTTTAAAAAAACGAAACATAATTTTAACCTCCGTGACGAAATACCTGATTGAACCTTGTGATAATGAAGTGATTTATTGAATCATTGTGAAATGACTGTTACACATCAACATAATTTTTCAAGAAAACTTATTTGATATATCATAATATATGAAAAATTCACTTAAAAACACAAAAATCCATTTTTTGCAGAAAAACCCAACCTCCGTAACATCGCTGGTTTTACGTATAAACGAGTATAATTTCCCTGTACACCGCTGATAGTTCACATAAGGGTGACCTTTTTGTGCCCATACGTATTACGGAATATCAGACATTTACAAAACAAAGAAAAATCAACTATCATTTTTATTTGTTATATACAAAAACATCTAAGTTAAGGCCATTTGTACCATAATATTTTCAAATCTACCTTTATTTTATGCTTTAAACGCATTATGATTCTTAAATTCCATTTTGTGCCAACTTAAAGAGTAATCTTCCAGCAGTATCTGATAGATTTAAACATGTGAAATGTTGCACACGACAGATTTTGTTGATTTTCTGTTACGTAGGTTAGAGGTTACGGAGGATAGAACCATTAAAAATTTCTTTATTTCTGAATTGTTGTTAATCTTTCCTGACAATTGTTTTTTGTTTACTAAACATACCCATTGGTGTCAATCAACTGCCTTGAAATAATACTTCACATAGCCTCTGTTTCTTCACAATCACTGTCACGTAGGTTAGGTTCTTATATGCGACATTATGAAAAATCCGTATTTTTAAAAAAATTGAACACGGTTTTAATAATTTGCCTAAAAAAAGATTCTGTGCTGAAGTTTTAATACATAGTGGACAGAAAAGCACAGTTTTAGCTGTACTAATTATATTTTCTATTATCTTAAAAAATATTTGAACATTGTAACGGTAGGTTAGGTGAAATTTGGCGACAGCAATGATAAAAGTTTTGTTTAAATTTTTTTTAATCATTTATCAATGAAAGTTTCATTTATATGATTTTGACATGTTTCTTCAATAGTTAAAACAATTTTTGTTTGTTTAGAACAAAATGTGACGAGGTAATGCACATTCAACCGGCAAGGTATACGATGGCGACATCGCCTTTTACACGATTCTGGGCTTCCTTTTTTGTAAATACTCGGAAAAAAAATATCAAAAAATATAACAACTTATGTTTTTTTGTGTGGCAAAATATGTTAACAGAAAGGGTCCAGGAATATTTTGAATATCAGTAACTATAGCTTTGAAATGTATTGGCGACATCACGTTTTTTCATTTGTATGAATTATACGGGAATGACTGTTGTGAGTCCTTTCTTTCTGATACTATATTCCAATATAAACTGCTGTAATATTTCTGTAGTTATATAAACAATGTGAATGATAAATATTAAAAATGTGATAGCGAGACAGGAACTATACAAATATTGATAGCTCTAGTTTCTTTTAGTATGCTCCGATACAGAACGGGATTATGGTACTTAATTTGTAAAGAATAAATAAAACATCTATGAAAAAGGACATGACAAAAGATAACAGAGGGAGAAACAAAAGAGAGAGAGAGTTTACCCAGAGTAGCCAAGACTTCTGCAGATAACCCTTGCTTCCGCATCAGCCCACTTGTCTTTACAAAATCGAATCCAAATACCTTTGATAAGTACCTCTGGATTGACTACGCTGTTATTCGTTGTAGAATTTTCGTTTTCTATTCGGATTATGTCTAAAAAGAGTTTTGAAGTCAGTGATTCAGTAAATACGAAGGTGACAAAAAGTTCGCGAACTATCTCTATATCTACAAAACCACAATTCAGATTAGAAAAAAATTTGGTACACATATAGCAATACACAAGTTCTCTAAATAGCATATGCTGAATAAAGTTTTCCTCCCTGTTTGTGAGGTCACAATATGAAAATGACGTCACCATGTAGTTCACTTGTGACAAAAAACGGTTGTCTAAGTCGTACTCGTTCAACAGACGACTGTAAAATTTATGGTTTATCTCAAAAATCCCTCTGAAGTAGAGTATAATAATTTGTACACAGTTTATTAAGTCAAATTTCTTCCTATTAATTCAATCAATGATTGGATTGATCGTTTTAATGAAGGAAGGCAGTTGGTAAAAATTGATACATGTTATGTTGCCCAGTGAAAGCAAGTTTTAAAAGAGATGTGTTTTTAATTGAGCAATTTGCTATCAAAGACCTCTAATTTACACTTTGAAAAATTGTGAATATTTCGACAATAATATAATTGTCCAATACCGGAGATATCGTTTACTTCAGATTTTAAACATATTAGATATGATAAAAAGGAGGCACCCATTTTCTATCCACCTAGAATAAACGTCTCTCCCGAGACAGGATATTTGGGTTTTGATGGTCGCCATGCTTATTTTTGGAAAGGATATTCTTATCCACCCAATTCTGTTGCCGAGATTTGACCATTCCATTTCTGACAAATGAACTGATCTTTTATAAAAATTATCTTACAGGGAAAAAAATATATAACTCGGAATAATCTTTCAGCTTTTGTGACAGAACGCGACGGAGGGGGTCACGTGACCGCCTACATCACGTGATTCGCGTATAAGCAGAACGGTGACAGATTTTCATTAAGATCAGAGAGGACTAATTTAAAATACAAGTTGCTGTCCTTTAAAAAAAGACTGCAATACGTGGACCATATGGATGTGTTTCTAACCGAAATTCAATTTAAGAAAATTTCTAGGTGTAGTGAATATTCATGTAGGTTTTTGATCACATTTTCTACAATGATCTGCCTACTTATGATTGATTGTAGTCTCGAAGCAAAATTGTTAAAGAACTATATGCGGTAAATTGCAAATCTTTGCCCCCCACAAAAGTCAAATTTTGAAAAATTCTTGAAATGTGCTGAATTCTATAAATTGTATGAGAAATATAAATTAATAACAGAACATATTATAGTTTCAAAGTAGTTTATTGACAATTTTTGTTTTTATGACGTCACAAATTAGTTCAATTTTATATCATTTTTTTAGAAAGAGGACAAAATGGACAAAATTTCAACAAATTTAGCTTTAAAATTTATAGGAACAATATTTACATATTTCATTGATATTATCATTCTACACATTATACCAAAATATTGAATCTGATCAGACCTGCGCTCGGTGACTTTTACTCAAAATATCGACGTACGTAATAAATACATTTTTCTGTAGATATTACGATAATTTTAAATTTACGTCATTTTCGTGACGTCATTTCAAACATATGACGCCATTGCTTATGAAAATATTCAGTGCTTTGAAGTCAGCATATACACCCCTGTTTAAGAACATAATTAAAAATTTCTCCGTCAAAGTTTGATTTGGGGGGCAAAAATTGGTTATTACCGAATAAAGTTCTTTCGTCTCCGAGTAGCCTTTATAAATGCTTTAGTTTTGTCAGTTTAAAAACTCGGGCTATCTTGATACATGTAACCCATAATGGTTGGGACTTGACATATGTTCTGGATTTATACGGAAGAAATCTATCATGGGAAAAATAGATCTGATGGTACAAGTGTAGCACAGCTCTGTAGATTGCAGATTCCCCCCCCCCCACTCCTCCACATTAAAAACCGCTGAGCACTACAGACCTCTATCAAACGGTATTTGGATTGCTGAAATATCAAATTATTTTGCGAGCCTTGATGCACAGAAAACTTGTCTATCTTTTAAAAACTAGAACTATAGTCGTTGAATGACGTTTAGTTATCTGTATGTATATAATGCAAATTCTTCCTACTTTTTAAAATGCTTGTGCCGAGAATCAATGTTTAGTTTGTATATAAAAGTATAATTTATGTATAAGAGAGAAATTCGGATCCGCCAATGAATATATATGCGGATTTTTTAATAGCATATTCTATGGGGCGAATTATTCTACGGGCGAGGTGCCTAAGGGGCGAACTCTCTCTTTGTGGAGAGGGCTTATATAGGCTATGCCTGCTGCCAAATCCGTTTTTGTATTTTTTACATAATAAAATATTATTATATTTATAAATATAATAATACAGTGGACCTTCAGATATCCGGACGCCAGATATCCGGATGCTTCAGTATCCAGACAATTTTTCATTGGAATGAAATTTTAAATGTTATTTTGTCTTGTTAAACTGGTGATTCAGATATCCGGATGCTTCACATATCCGGACAAATGGACTGGGAACCAAAGCGTCCGGATAAATGAGGGTCCACTGTATTTATATTTATAAACATAATAAAAAGTTATTCAATTAGTTCGCGAACTTTTTGATCACCCCTCTCTCTCTCTCTCTCTCTCTCTCTCTCTCTCTCTCTCTCTCTCTCTCTCTCTCTCTCTCTCTCTCTCTCTCTTACTATTTGCTGTGTGATAATAAACGACTCCTGCGTGTCTACCATTGTTACAGACGTTGGATTCACTAAGGGATCGTATACATTCCATCAAAGAATCTTCATTTCCTTTACAGTTAATGCTGTTCACAACCATTTGTCCTCTTGTGTCTCCAAAAACGGAGGATGAACTTGATAAAGCCGGGATTCCTCTACCAAAATATTATCATAAACGTTTAGGGTCATCACAGTTACGGATTTTATTAAAGAAATCAAAAGAGAAAATGTCAATAGATTCCGTACTTGATCTTTAATCATGCCCAAAACTTGGCTGTTGTGACCACTATTTAAATAACGACCACTGTTGAAATAATTAATTCAATAGTGGTTTAGAGAGTTTTTCAATCACAAACATAGGTTGCATCCACTATTGAAATACTTATTCCAATAGTGGTTGAGAGTGCATTAAATTTAAATCAGAAAAATTATACACAAATGATCAGTCTTTTTTCTTTAATATAGTCTAGATACAGTGGACCCTCAGATATCCGGACGCCAGATATCCGGATGCTTCAGTATCCGGACGATTTTTCATGGGAACGGATTTTTTAAATGTTATTTTGTCTTGTTTAACTGGTGATTCAGGTATCCGGATGCTTCACATATCCGGACAAATTGGCTGGGAACCTAAGCGTCCGGATAAATGAGGCTCCACTGTATTCTAATTTCTACATCTATATGTATTTATGATCCTTTCCTTTCAAAATCAATGACAAACATGAACTTTACATAACAAAATTATTTCAAAATTGCATAAATGTATTATCAATTGATTGTATGTTGTTTTTCGCCGATTCGGCCAGATTCAACGGGAGCTTGCTTATAACATTTGCATACATACAGGTAGGTCAGTTTAATAAAACGTGTCTGTGTATTAATTGAAATTTCTACAACAAAAAAAAAAGAAAAAATAAAGAACTTAAGTTATAATATTTTAAACCCAATAAATTAGTTTAATGTGTTAGAAAACAAAATGTGTAATTCATTCTTAAATTTGTTTTAAAAGTTGGGATACTTCAATAAAGCTTGCAATGTGGTTTTGGTATTGAAATTATTGTCAGTAACTATTTAATATAATCATTTTAACATCGTTTCGAATCACTGTTTTAAGCACTATTGAAATCAATATTTCAATCTCTTTTGAAATCTATATTTTTAATTTTTATCATTATTGAAATCTTTATTTCAAAAGTGAACATTATTTCAATAGTGGATACAACCTATGTTTGGTATTGAAATGTACTCTTAACACTATTGATATAATTATTTCAATAATGGTCGTTATTTCAATTGTGTTCGTTATTTCAATAGTGGTTGCAGCACTTGTCACAACAAAATGAAGTCCTCAGTTTATTTTTTTATGTTGACATTACAGTAAAGCTTGAAATAAACAAGATTTCTCTAAAGGAACCCCCTGCATACTGTCTGCTTTAGCACGCCCTTCTTGTGCCAAACGTCGCATACGGTGTAACCTTTTTTCTCAGTTTTTAATAAGTACAAATGTAAAGAACACAGATACAAAGAAGAAATTGATTTTTTTTTTCCCCTTCAAAAATGGAATAGACACGATTTTATTGTTTTCTATGAATTGGTCACACGTCAGTAAACTTTGTAGTTATTTAAAAGGTTTGACATTAATATGCCTTATTTCTTGTGAAAGTAACGTATTTATATATCAAATACATCATAAACACGTTTTTAAAAGTAAAATATTAATTCTCTTAGTGCCTTAGCAATTTTTGTCTAGTGTACACATTATCTAATGTATATAGAGGATACGTAATCCAATTAAATAAAATAGAAAATATGCTTAACGTCCATGAACGAACAATTTTCTCGACGCAATCTATTGGAAAATATGTTGATTAAATGAGAATATCAACAGTGTCGACATTTCTATGGTCGATACAATGACCTTGTCGGTTAATGATGTTGAATGCCTTTCCTCATAGTAGTTTCTTCCTTGAGTTTTCTACGGAGTTTGTCCGGTCATAGAGGGGAGCGCAAGACCTGATGCCCGCTAAACAGGTATGCTTACTTTTCCTTGGCACCTGCTCCAACCTCTGTTCTGCTTTAAACTTAAAGTGTTTTCATCAACTTTTGAGCTTGTTCGTTACCTTCATATTTCATGTAAAAAAGAACTTTAAATTTCAACAGATAAATTATCTAACAATAAAAGTTCAACGTCTGAAGTTCAAATACCTTGAATACCCTAATCCTCTACAAGTCACATAAGCATCATTTGCGTCCCACAGATTGTTGCACACACTTCGCCATTGTCCATTGATGAGAACCTCCACTCGACCTTCATGTATAGAGCTACCGTTCACCATCCGCACTAATTCTTTTAAAAAACAAATAACCGATTATTTACGAAAACATTTTTATGCAAGATCTAGTGGAAAACGCCCTACCAACAGGTACATGTACTACAGGGGAAAATCTTATTGTAAGTATTTCATTGATTGATTCCTTAAGTCCTTTACAATTAAGTATGCCCGTGTGGCAGAGGGATTAAAACGTCTGCACTAGAGTCGAGGAGAAAGGAGTCGATCCTTACGTCACTGTGGGACGTGAAGACTAGTCCTTCGGAAGAGACAATAGAAACCGAGGACCCGTGTCGCAGTAGATGCTGGAATGTAAAAGACCCCTCACTACTCAATGGCTCTGAGGAGTGCCGCGTATAGTAAAAAAAAATACTGCAGCTCTCCGCCGGCAAGTGATGGCGTCTCCATATGAGTGAAAAATTCTCGAGAGTGACTTTAAACAATTAACAAACAAAAAACAATATATAATATATATACGTACCATTTTTTGAATGGTAGCAAACAACTCCGGCGGAACCACCACTACATCTGCTTGATCCAACTGTAGATTGTCGACACTTCAGCAAGGAATTTTCCCTTCCGTTACAATTGATACCATTTAACCATATTTCACCATCGCCTTCTCCAAACAGAGAAGATAGGACCGGGAGTCCTCTACAGAAAATATTCAATCAATATTTACAGGTGTTATTTGTAATGTTAATTATTTTATTACATTCTATTGTATATTTTTTCTTTTTACGTAGTTTTAATGACTACATGACATTATCCGTTCATTAATCAAGTACTATTAATTTTGACAGCGTATATTCATTTAGTCATCGTTAATGAGGCCGAGTCTAATTCGAGTGCCCATGACTTTGCGCAGCTTTTTAATTTCATGCAGGCATTTGTGCGACAGTACACATTTGCCAAATATTTTTATTTTGATACAAAATTAACTGTAACCCCTACTATTTGAAAATGTGCTTTTACGATAATAATTAGGAGAAAACGCCGAAATGGCTCTAACGACATCACCATTTTTGGACTTCATAAGCAATGCATGACGCTGAAGAATGTCGCAATTGACTCGCTTGTATGTTCAAGACGTCCATGGAAATTATACTAAAAACTGATGACAGAACATCAAATATAAAAAAAAAAATTCTAGCAATCTAAACATCGCTATTTTTTACCGAAAAAATCTTATGCACGGATACTTCATCTGCACTGATATTTATTTAAAGCGTAATTTGGCAATTTCAGAGTTATTGGGTTTTGAAAAAATAAAATTAGTAATTAATTCCTAGACCAACCTAGATGGTGAACTTTTTTTGAAATTTCACAATTTGGAGACTTTCTACAAAAACTTTCATATACTTGAATGAAAAAGAAATCTCTAGGGCAGAAATACAAAAATATGGGAAAAAATGTAATAATTGTGCGCTATTCTAACAAATTCCCATAGGGTCCAATAGTAAAATTTGACAACTTTTGAGATGACCCCCTAAAAAATCGGGATAGTAAACATTCGATTTTTAAATCTTAAAACAATAAATATGACATTAAAAATAAATTATCAAAAAATTATCAAAATCCCTGGGGCACAAATAATTTAGACTCGGCCTCGTTAAATACCAATTCAAAATAGTCGAATTTGTTGAGTATTATTACATTGTAATGAAAAGGAAAATCTAAATTTAGGAAATGTCAATTTTTATCCTAAAATAATCCAAAATTAAAAAAACAAATGGTTAAAGTAAGTCTCTTTTAAATACAGCGTTTGAAACAATATACAATTTTAGCTATTATTTGATGCCATTACCCTGAATAACCAAAACGTTTACAAGTGACATCAGCAGCCATCTTGTCCCATCCTCTGTCACAAACATTCTGCCATTCACCATTTATTAAAATCTCGACCCGGCCCTCATCTGCAGAGCTACCATTAACTATTCTGACTGAATCTAAATAATAGCGACAAGAGAATGTTTGCGATGGATTAACATAAATTAAACATAAATGAATACATTGCTGACCTACCATTTCCAATGTGGTAACAAATGACCCCAGCGTGTCCACCATTTCTACAGCTGTTAGCTGCAATTACTGACAGATAAGTGCATTCCAATATCGAAGATTCGCCTCCATAGCAATTTCCACTGGACAACATCCATATTGTTTCAGGTCCCTCTCCAAACACAGATGAAGAAACTGCGAGACCTCTGAAAAACAAGGGTGGTTGTAGAAGTGGTTTTGATGGAGGAAATCGACTCTAACATATTTTCATATAAACAAAACAAACCATACAAAAATTGATAGACATTTCAGAAAATACGAAACTGCACGTATCTCAAGATATCAACTAAGGAAATAATTAAAATATACATGTACACAGCCTGTTTGATATAATGCAAAATAAATTTTTAAAATGTTTCATTTCAAGATCAGTTAACAATTTCTCGGCTAAGGTGTTAAAAACTGTTTTTCACTGAAGGGTAATTGTTGAACTTTTTACGAGAAATTACCCAGAATATCCAATACTTTTACAAGTCACATCAGCATCATTTTTATCCCATCCTTTATCGCAAATACTCTGCCACTGTTCATTTATCAGAACTTCAACTCGGCCTTCATACTCAGAACTGCCATTAACAATTCTCACTGTTTCTAAAAGCAAATCGTAAAAATTCAATTAACATCGATTATTCCATCATGAAGATTTAAAAATTTTATTAAGAAATAAATCACCGAAAAATTTTTATTTAAATTTAAATTTAAGCACAATACTCCTCATTAAATAATAAACAATTACCGCTTTTGGAGATAAACTTCGAAATGTTTTTTTCTAAAATAATATTAATTAGGGAACAAAAAGTGGCATAAAAAGTGTTAAAGTATGAGCACAGCTAATTTAAGTAGGTTTATATATTGTAATTGCCAGGTTAACCCACCCTCAGTCGCATCATCTCGGGTCTTTCCGTCAGAGGTCGGAAAAATAACATCGAATGTATTAACATCATCAGATGTTTAAAATCTATACATTTCCTGTTTATTCAGAAATAGGCGTTAGAAGTCCCTTCTATATAGTATATTTAAGCCTAGGTATAATCATTACACTGAAAAAAGTTAAACTACATATTCCACAGATAAAAGGTCTCCATGCATTTCAAAGATCGTGAAAAGAGGGGTTGTCATGGCGTCTACGTAATACATTCGAGATTGTATTTCCGCTAGTCGGAAAGGCCCGAAAAGCTGCGATTGAACCCACCCTTTCCTCTTTGGTAACAAACAACTCCAGCGTTTCTACTAGAAGTACACACATCAGACCCAATTATTGATTTTGTGCAGCGCAGCAGAGACTGTTCAAACCCCCAACAGCTCACACGGTTAAACATCCATATCTGCGCAGGACTCTCTCCAAACACCGAAGATGCGACAGGAATGCCTCTAAAATATTATCAAAATGATGACTTACTACTATGTCAAAACTTATCAAGAACGATTTGTTCGAAAATCTAACTAAAATCTTGATAAACAACATAACATCGTAAATTTTTAAATCTTAAAAGAATAATGGATTCTTTTAATTCTTTAATCAAAAATTTTACCAACACTACTTTGGATAACAAAATAAGTGAACAAGGAGACCTTGAATATCCAAGACTTTTGCAAGTCACTTTTGCATCATTGCTTCCCCATCCTCTGTCGCAAATACTTCGCCATTGACCATTCATCAAAACCTCCACACGACCCTCCTGAACAGTGCTACCATTAACTACCCTAACTGAATCTATGAATAACATATAGAATAAAGCATCAAGCAATTAAAATATATCTTTAAATCCTTAATTAACAACCGTTGATTTAACGCACCTTTTCTTGTGTGGAAACAAATCACTCCAGCTGTATTACCATAGCGACAAGTGCTTGATCCAATCACTGACTGTGTACACTCAAAGAGAGACTTCTTATTTGCATTGCAATTTACATTGTCTAACCATGCCCGACCACTGCCTTCTCCAAACACAGAGGATGAAACGGATAAACCTCTTAAAAACAAAAAAGGATTAGTACCAAATAAAGAGAGAAAAGACAATAGTGAACTATTGTAAAAAAAAAATTAAAAATAATATAAAAAAAAGAGAAAAAATTTAAAAACACCCTGCATATCCAAGACTTTTACAAGTGACATCAGCATCACTTTTACTCCATCCATTATCACACACACTTCCCCACTGGCCATTAATCAAAACTTCAACTCGACCCTCTTCAGCAGAGCTACCATTAACAATTCTAACTGTATCTAAAATTGAATAAAAATAATATATTAAAGTTTGGTGTATCCTTGAAAGGTTACTAACCAACTTTACCCACCATTTCTCGTAGGATAACATACAACTCCAACGATTCTTCCAGAATTGCACTCGTTGGAACCAGTTACTGAGTCTGTACACTGTAACAGAGAACCCTCGTTTCCATTGCAATTAATGCCGTCCAACCAAATGTATTCATTGCCGGGTCCAAAAACCGAGGAATTCACCGCAACACCCCTTTGAATCAATAAATAAAAATTAAACATTTTAGTAACATGCAACATGATCGCCGCAATTTACATGGTTTGTAAGCGTTATAATACAGAAAAGTCATATGTAAATTTTAAAAGAATGCAAAAATTTTAGTCAAGCAAACGATCATTAATTGACAAGTTTCTTTATGAAATGTTAGGACGTAAAATCAAAATTCTAAAGCAATTAAAAAATAGTTAGTTAGATAGATTGATAGATGGATGGATGGAGAAAAAACCCATAGATAATAGATTGATAGAAATCTGAAGATGAAATAAAAGGCCTATGAGCTTTACTGGTTTTTTTTTTCAGTTTTAAATATATATTTATATATAACTATGAATCTCTTTTAAATTAAAAAAAAAAAAACATTACCCAGAATACCCTAAGGAGCGGCAAGCGACTTTGGCATCATCGTTATCCCACACTTGATCACAGACAGCGCCCCACTTCCCATTGATAAACACCTCAATGAAGCCTTCGTTTGTAGCATTTCCATTTGATAACTTGATATGCCCTGTCATACAATGTAAGATTCAAAAATTGAGATAAGTTCTTTACATTCGAATACTCGATTAAAGATCATATTATTTGTAAGATACATTCACGTACGATTTGGGAGAAAACAAAGGACTCCGGCATCTTCTGAATGAGTACAGTTGGCTGAGGTTGAATGAGGACAGTCAAGAACATCAGTTTCAGCACCACTACATTGTAAATCTAAATGGACAGATCCTTCTCCTTTTCCAAATACTGCAGTTGAAACTGCAACACCTTGCCTTGTAAATATTGAAGTTAAAATAGCATTTATTTTGTTGATAACCCTGACCTTGAATATGTAACAATAACAGTGATGTTTTTTATCTCAAGCAGACACACGAACATAAATAAATAAATAATTTTAAAAAAAATCGAACTGCTTGTGAAGACATTCACCTTTCTAATCCAAATAGTTGTCTACAGACCACATTGGCATCATTAGAATCCCAGCTGTCAACACACACTGTTCCCCAGTGTCCATCTTCATAGACCTCCACCCTTCCTTCCCCTGACGAACTTCCATTTACAAGTCGTAAACCTTTAAAGCAAGAAAATATTGTATAGTAATTGGCTGATTCGAATTGCTTAGCACTTGGCGAATCGAAGGAACAGTTTCTATTTTTTATCGGCTTAAGCAAGTCGTTTTCGGGGGGGGGGGGGGTTGAACTCACGACCTTCCTGCTATGGAGCGAACCTTCTACCGACTGAGCCTAATATTGAAGTGCTCACTCCTACATGGCACCTGATCCCACTTCTGATATTTTGGAGGTCTGTGTTTGTTCTGCTGCAAATTTGTATTGTTTAATGGACTTTTGAGATTGTATAATGTTCGTCTTTTTTTCATATATTTCATTAAAAACAACCCTCTCTTGTACATAAGGTTTAATTAATCACTAGAATGAAATAAATGACGCTTAAAATATCAGAAACTTTGTACTTTTGGTAAAATTATCAATCTTACCCAATTAATACGCAAGAAGAACTTCTTTCTATAATGATCATATTTCTTGCAAATGAAATTGAAATACTTTTTGTTCGCTAGATATTCCATTCATACGCATGGAAGAAATCCCTACCTAGTTTTCCAGCCCCGCCGGGAACAGTGCACTGCGTATTCTTCGTTTGTTCTGTGATTTCTTTCTTAAAATTATCCAGCTCCATCTTATATTTAAGCAGCTGAGTCTCCATCATGTTAAAATGAGACGTTATCACTTTCCTGGTTGCTGAGTTAAACAGGACTTCTAGTTCATCTGTATTAGTCAATGGACAGTTACATGTACCCATCGGTTCATGTCCACCATATAAGATCTGACTTTCCACTTTTATCGTGGTCAGTATCACTCCCAAAAGAGTAGTCGTGTCCATTCTGGATAGAAGAAGGCATAAAACACATTTATTTATTTTTTTTTAAAACCCAAAATAATTAAGTTTAAAAAAAATGTTATTTTTGTTTTCGACGAAGTATCTTTTGGAATGAATTAATCCATTTGATTCTTTAATTTATGAATATGACAACTATTAAAACATTGAATACTTTTCAATCTCAAGCATCATAATTAAATCTTAAAATAAACAAATCACCAAGATGTGAAAATAAATATGCTTAATAAGTTTTCATCTCTACACGTCAATGCAATACAGTTTTAACAAATCAAATTACAAAGAAAATAAACCAAAATTGGTCAATTATAAAAGAAAAATTGCCTTCCATACGATACAACTTCAACGATATTATGTTTTACTGCGTTTCTATGGAGAACCTATCCTTCTTTAATATTATTATTACCAACCAATTACACCGTGTTGCTTGATAGGTGATAAAATATTTATTTGAAAACTTATAAAAGTGTCCGGAAATGTAAGAAATATTTATACAATATGTTCATATATGTTAAAGTAACTAAAGTGTTATTCCATGGCTTGATGTTGTGGTTGTAAAGGGAAGTAATGTCTAGCCAATACATATAGATCAAGTCAAGTAGCATTAAAGACCTCACTTCACTGTACTTCGACCATTAGAATTATTATCTTAAAATTGCAATGAAGATAAATTTATGAAAAGATGATTTCATAATATGTTAACTAATTACAAACTTGAAATAGTGAAACAAAATCTTTTTTAAGAGAACCAACGATATTTATAATGACAATATGACCAACATATATGAATGTCCTAAGGCCCTTTTGGAAAAAAAAAAAGAATTTTTATCTTAAGGTAGGATTCTTCTCTGGTTTCTGACTAGATGAAACATTAAAAGAGTATTTGCTTATATGTCTTATATATTGAGGTGTAAGGAATTTAAAAGACCATATTTTTCTTTCATCATTACAATTGTACAACTTTATATAGAAATGGTAAACTGCGTTTGAATACTAGCAGGGACTATATTTTTGGTGGAATGGTGGCGTATGAAAATATCTTCTTTTCTGCCTCTCAAAATTATAATAGAACAATGAATTTAGTTATAATTTTTACACAATCGAAGACTTGGTCAAATTTTCAAATGTAAGTTAGATTAGTAATGAGGGACTGAACTTTCATAATATATCAAATAAATATGATTTTTCAAACAAGCTAGAACTTTATTAGCTTTTAAACGTTTCCTATCAAAGTGCAGATTTGAGCCAAAAATCCATAAAAAGTATTTTTTCGATCAACACTTTTTTGTTTTGTATCATTTTGTACATTTATAAGACTACTTTATTATATGTGAAAATAAGAAAGAGTTAAATATAGGAAGCATATGAAAATAACTAATATATCCTAAAAAATTAAGAAAAACAGAGGAAATCCGGATTAGCCAATATCCAGTTAAGTTAAATTATTTATGTAAATTTGGTAATATCATGCTATAGACCCGATATAGTAATATGTTATCATGCAAAAAGATCAATCATTAAACTTTTGAAATAGAAGTAGGTATATCACATGATTGGCAACAGTTATTTTTTATTCCTAATTTCAAGGAAAAAGATAATGACCTTGACCTGACCTTGCCTCTAATATAAAACGGTCAAATTTAATTTCACTGATACTATCACTTACTGATATTGTCTTCTTGATTCTGTGAAAATTTCATTAATTTTTAAATATTAGAAATATGAGAAGAATCCTACCTTAAGCGTAATTTTATGATTTTAAACCTTTTCACTAAAATTCCGTAGAGATTATGTGTTTAATCTGTTGTAATTTAACGAAAGCTTTAACCTCTTGTAAATATGTTAAAACCAATTTTATTGAAAAATATAACTTTAAAAAATACCCGTTTAAATGAACTTTGCCAAGCAAAGAAGAATGGGATTTTATATCATAATCATTGCAGAAAACATGAATGAAAATACTACAAAATATTTACAATGGCAGATTCACTTAATATTTTCATATCACCCGATTTTAAATATTTGTGATTTTGACATCAGATTTCAAGCTATTTTGCTGCCCAATCGAGTGCATGTGGTATTTATTGTCAATAATGTTTTTATCTTTATCCACATTTTTAATATTAAATCGCCGTTAGGGTCAAATTCTATCATAAATAAATTTTCATCCCTAGCTACGAGTATTTTCATCTATTTTATCGTTCAAAACGTAAATCTTCATATACTTTTTCACAAATAAATCTTGTGTTTTTGAGTAAGATAATCACTAACGAATCTCCTATGATAAACGATAAATCTTCGGTGCTTCCATGGATGATTTCGAACCATATTAGTATTCATATTTTATTCATTACATATATTAAGAAAAAGATGAAAATACTCAAAAAGTTAATTTCAAAACTAAATTATTAGCTCTAATATAGTAAACCTTTATTAACTATGGTATTTTTTTCCAGATGTCCGCTGATGACGTAGCATGTAGATTGTATATAATTACATGGAAGCAAAATTATCATGTTCCATTGATTGGTGCACAATCAGCTTTTTTTATTAAAAATACAAAAATGTATATTTATAATAGAAGTATTACACAAAAAAGAAAGAGCAGGTCACCTCTTTAATCCCAGTGAATGTTTATAGCTCACATTGACACCATCAGAATCCAAATTAACAGTTCTCCAGAGTTGGTCCTTGTATATATCATCTCCTCCTTCCCCTGATGAGCTTCCATTTAATAGCCTGACTTCTTTAAAATTAAAAGAAAAGTTATAGATCATCTAAGTAAATTCATCTTCGGCTTCTGCGTTCCTACGGATAATTACTCTTTTTAAAGTATTTAGATCATCTAAGTAAATTCATCTTCGGCTACTGCATTCCTATGGATAATAACTCTTTTTGAAGTATTTAGATCATCTAAGTAAATTCATCTTCGGCTACTGCATTCCTACGGATAATAACTCTTTTCGAAGTATTAATTTACCTTGGTTTTAAGGATGAAGTTTACTCAGGTTTCAGAAATCAGAAAGGGAATTTTATAAAGTATAATATGTTAAATCAAAAATTGTTCTAAATGGATGAAATAACTAAGTTTTATCACAATATCAGTTAAAAAATTTAATATGTTAGTACTTGAAGAAAATATACAGGAACAAAACTCAATGTATGGCTATGCAGAGGAAATTCGGTCTAAATTTTTAATTTTTCATTTTTGTCAAAATTTTTATATTTTGCCATATTATTCAGAAAGAAAAGGTTAGATGTATTTTAACACATCATTTTGCAAATATTATATGTGTTTAAGCTCATAAATTATTTCAAATAAATGAATGCTATGAAATAAAGATATTCAAAAATACGTACAAAAACCACTCCAGACAGCATATCTCAATAATTTGATCATTGACCCCATATAATATTAATACCATGAGATTTAGGGTAACAAAAGTAACCTGAGGCTATAAATAATTTAGAGTTCCTATCAGTCGGATTTTTGTTATATTTGATTAAAAATAGGGAAAAAATATGAATATGTCAGAGGAAATTCGGACTGTAATAATTATTACGTTTATGGCCCAAACTCTACTCATTTCTTTATATGGAGCAACTCTGTTTCATTGCTATAATATTTCATTATTTAAAGAGTTTTGTTGCTTGTAATATTTTGTGAGTGAAGAAAAAATTGGTCATAGTGTGAAAAATTGAGGTATTTCCCGAAAAATACTCAGGGGCCACTAGCATGAAAACGAGGTCATTGACCTAGTTATTTGAAACTGAAATTTAACACAAGAATCATAGGTGTATAATGTGCAATAGGTGGTTTTTCGTTCTTATCAGTGGAATTTTTAGTCATCTGAGTAAAGGTATACCTTAATTACTTATTCTAATCTTAGTTCTTAAATACCTGATTCTGTACATTAAATATATTTATGATACTTTTTAATTAAACACATTTTGTGAAAGAGAATCAATAATAAGGATAACAGAGAAAAAATATTCTGGACCTTGTTCATTACCAAAAAGATTTTATCCAATTTAAATCTTTGAAGATTTATTTTTTTCAAATGTCTATCCTTTTGCAAAGTAATAAAGAAAGATTTTTTGCATGCTTATATATTTCAATGAAACTTAAAGATAACGAATCGTGATGAATTTGCAGCCCTCTACTGACAAATGGTGGCGTCTCCAAATGAGTGAAAAAAATATCGAGAGGGACGTTTTAACAACAACAAAAAACGTACATACCTAGCTTTCCAGTTTCTTCCTGAATAGCATCCTGCGTATTCTTCATTTGCTTGGTTACATCTGTCTCTGTCTTTAAATTATTCAGTTCTGTCTTATGTTTAAGGATCTGGGCTTCCATTATGTTTAAATGAGATGTTATAGCTTGTCTGGCTGCTGAGTTAATCAGAAACTCCAGTCCCTCTGTATTAATCATTGGACAGTGATCCACTCGACCATCTCCACCGAGAATAGTTTGACTATCCACTGCCATCACGGATAGTATCAGTCCAAGAACATTTACGGGGCCCATCTTGTGTAGATGAGACTAAAGATATGTGTATATGGGCATTAAACCTTTAAAAAGTTGCAATAAAATTGTTCTTTTTATTATATACTAGAATGGCATATCCCTAAAAATGTTCTTTTAATTTGACAAGACGAAGTGTCTGGCAATAATTTTTTTTTAAAATCAAATTTTATCTTTTAAATAACTAAGACAAGGTGACTGGCAACTATATAACACCTTTATTATCAAATATTCGAATAAATTGCTCGATAATTACATGTAATTGTTATATTCAATGTACACGTAACTAAGCAAAACAAATCAGTTCAAAGTATGTACAGTGTACACCTGAGGACGAATTATTAAATCAAGAAAACTCTCGTGTGTGAATAATATAGATGTCATTCTCTGTGTCCGAACTTCATCTGTGCACGAAGAACGTATCAGTGTTTTGCTAATAATCATTTATGTCATATAAATTTCAGTGATTAGGCCTAGGAAGTACTAGTAATCGAATTCAATCGAATCTAGAATGGCGTTGTCAAATTTATGCAAGACATTAGTATTTTTCTTTTTATAGTTGTTCGTTTTTCGAAATAGTTCAGGTAGAGTGTCTTGTTATTTAACTCAATGTAGCCCCCAATCCTCCAAATTCCCCAAGAAAAAAAACAACTTATCTGAAGAAATAGTTGACAAGCAAATTAAAAGAGGAAAATACAAAATTGTACTATAACTTAGAATTCCAATCCCATATTTATTAAAACGTTCGCAATGAGTTTCTAAAAACAGTTCTTTTATATTTTATAAATTAAATGTTTAACATTTCTTTTATGTTACAATCTTCAATAATACGGATTTTGAAAAAAAAAATGATTTTTATAATAATACACTCTCCAAAAAGTATTTTGGAAAAAATAAGAATTGTACAGCCAATCTTTAACTATTCATCAAAAGAAACACTTTTTTCTAGAGCATTATGATTATCCTACCCACACTTTATGTTATCAAATAGTCCAAAGAATATCTTTTTTTTTTGGATATACAAACCTTATACTTAAAGTGTTTAAAAAGTAACAGTAATTAGTAATTTGTTGTTTCAAATCGTGTCTTAGTTGTGGCATAAGGAAATACTTAAACTATAAATAGAATATAAGGCTCATAAATTAAATTAAAATACTTTGCACTAGTATGAAAATGAAAGTAAAATTTAAAGTGTTAAAGAGGAACTTTAAAGAATTTCATATTTTATGCTTAAATTGACAAAGAAAATAATATATACATTTTTAAATTATTTTACATCAAATATTTATAATATTTCTTACAAAAACTATTATAGTTTTTTTGGCGCGTAGAATGGATTTCAGATTTAAGTTGCGTTAAACAACATTACACACAGTTCAATAATAAAGCACTGGTCAGCATGGGATGCTAACTGCACCGAGGAACCTGATCCAATCTCTGGAATTTCCATAAACATATATTTATACCTTGCTTACATTTTGTATTGAAATTCTTATGAAATCGTAGTCTAAATCAGTATAAAAACAAAGGGTTAATTAATATGTATTCTTTTTTATATAGATCGTAGTACATAATCGTTTTATTATTTTGCGAGTAGAATGCTTTCTCCACCCCATCCCCTATTTTTACAAATTATTCATTACATTTATAAATTATAAATTATAAATTAATTGCAAAGCGTAAGGTTAGCATGGACCCTTAAAACCTTTTGAAAATGTTTATTAGAGTATAAACTTTTTCTTAATAAACATAAAAAGAGTTACATTCCTTTTGGCACAAATGTGCATGCATTTTACATTTCTACAATATTATTGTTAAAATCCCATTCGAAATATACAGTTGCTAAAATAAAATAAAAATTACCTCAAAGATTTGTTTTCACTTTTTTGTGAACGTCAGTGATCTCCTTCTTAGACTTTTTAAAGGCAGGCTTAATGTATGAGGAAGGATGGGGAAGTAAGGAAACAAATTTTTATAAATTGTTCGTTGAGTCCTCTTGTAAAAGTTTACGGAAATCCACACCAAAGGTCCACATAGCATCTTTCTGATAACAAGAACAACGGCGGTAACAACATCACAATATCCACTTGATGCCTTTGAAACTTCAAAAGGGGCCTGGTCACAGAATGCTTGCCGTTTTACTTACAATTTTATATTTCTTTTTTTATTTACAAAAAATAACTTCAGTTAAATGAATTGAACTTTCAGATTCTTCAAATCTAAAAACAATGACATTCACGTCTTCCACTTACGAGATGATCAAAATGTTAGCTAATTATAAGCTATCTCTATATTTAAAAAAAAATCAAGATCAGAATAAAATTTGGCATACATCACAAATGAAGTAATGCAGATGTTCTATAAATGTCATATGTTAAGCAATGATTCGCATCATGTTTGTGACGTCACGATATATAAACATTATGGCATTAATATGTAGATCACTTGTAACTAAAAATGAATGATTTAGTCATACTCGATCAACGAATGGCTGTAAAGTTTATCATTTATCTCACGCTTTATTTTATAAGGTTAAATTAGGAGAAAGTTGTGAACTTCATACCAAAAAACTGATAAATTCTATGTTTCATGATCACATACGTCGATATTTTCTCTGTGATTATTTTTTAAATAATATACGTAAACAATCAATATTTCATTTAAATACTGTATTTCAATGTGCGTATTTTTAAATGTATGCATTTTGAAAGTAAAGATGTGCAAAACTTTGTATTTGACAGTTACATCGCCATTACGTTTTTACGAGCGTTGCTCGAAAAGTTTGCGGACAACTGCCATATCTTTTTATTTGACGTCAGATAATATCCAAATTTGGTAGAAATATTCAAATAAGAAATTCAAATGATTCGTATTAATTTCGTCAAAATATTAAGATTTCTTCAAAACTTATCCAGATTTTAAAAATGCAAAAATCGGGTCGCGGAGCAGGTCAAAATTTAGTAAGATACAGACAATACACTAGATAATGCCTGCAGTCATATTCTCTGTAAAATGGAACAAAAACGAAAAACAACCCAGAAATTCAAATTAAGAATTGTTACATCAATTCGTAAACCAAATTATGACTTCATATGTTGCTTTGTTGAAAAGAAATCAACTTCAGAAGATAGGTAGTCCTTATTGACAACGACAAAAACGATGACGTTGTAGAACGTCTCGGAGCAGCAGATAAAGATGCAATTTTGTGTTTTACTCAGGAAAAATCATGAATAAACTCTATAATTGTTGGTGAATCAAGAAAATATGTCACAAGCGAGTCGTGCATGTGTGTACAAATAGTAAAGGCAGTATTTGAGTGGCAGAGACTCTATATCGGATGAGTACAATCTGTTAAAAAAAACCGTTTAACTGTAAAAATCTGACCAAAAATTTTAAAAGTTGGAACGGCAAGGGAAGACAAAGGCGCTTCAGAGCTGCTTATCCTGTGAAAGAGAGTTAAGTAATAAAAGAAATTAAAACCTTAAAAAAGGGAAATTATACAACGAGAGCAATTCTTTAAAAAAATAAATTTCAAGTATAAGAAAAAGGATGTAATGAAAGGACATTGGATTATACTGTGTGAAATGTATAGGGATAGTATTTTTTAGAAATTTTTGACGCTGTTTTGCCGTTAAGTGTGCTCCGCGGTTACAAAACATGCTGATTTTAAAATGATGTAAATTGATTTCTATTAAATCGAATGGAATAAAACTTCAGAAATCAACAAAATATATTTACATTTTATATTGTGCTTAGTTTAAATTTCTAGTGAGTAATATGACGAAGATTGACATCGTCCACGAACTTTTCGAACAACCCTCGTAGAAAAGATATACATGTAATAATGCAATCGACTGGTTTTATACAAATTGTTTATTTACTAGATATATTTTTTCTCAAGATTGAATGGGGATAAATCAACAATAATAGAAAATTAAGAGGAATGACTATAAAAATTCTGATTTTGTAATTTGTTTTTATATCTGACTATTTACTAGTAATTATTGTTCTCTGTTCAAGGAAATGTAACAAAATAAGAAACAAAAAATGAGACAAAAACAATTGTTCTATGATATATTAATCGTTCGTAATAAAAATATAAATCCGGAAAACAATATGAACTTTTAATATGAAAAGCAGAAAGCTTGTCCCCCAGGAAGCAGTAAGTTGGGTGTAGATTCTTAGGAAGAGTACTGTAGAGGGGATTAATTTCACGGATTGTAAATTTCACGTTCTTCTCTTCTTTGACACAATCACGGTTTCTTGAATTCGCTGTATTGGTATATGATAAAAGTTTCCTCCTTTATCTATACCTATTGAAAACTTATTCACTGTTTCTTGAATTCACGGATCCATTAACACCGTGAATATAGCGAATATTAATACCGCGAGTTATTTTCCCCCTATACAGTATGCATTTCCTGTCAAACCGTCAATCATTCTGTAAACCCTGTATATTTTATATACATATGAATTTTTTTTAAATATAGTTTGTTTTGGGCGATGATTTTTTTTCCCTTTCATGATGACATATTTTCAAAATTCTTATTTTTCTTACAAATACATCATGCATCAAGTAAAACATAAATTAGAAGATTATCAAAATTTATTAAATAGAAAAATACAATAAAAAATAATTGCAATGAGAAATTGAAATGATATTACAATTTGAAGAGAAGTAAATACATGCATGTAAAAAAATAATACAGAATTTTTAAATATAACTTTTGAATAGTGAATGCTTTATGAATGGCATATGCTTTTACTTGTTTATTAATTTATAAAAGTACAGGTTAAACAGGTTAGAAAACTCTTTATACTTTTCAAAGTTCAAATGTTTTAAAAATACGTTTCAGGAATATAGGTTCATGTTACATGTACATTAATATGAAACCTACAGGACTGGTATACAAGCTACATAACACATATGAAGTAAAGCTACAACTGTAATAAAGTTTAATTTTAAATCGTTACTTCATAAGTCTCCAATGATTCGTTTACCAACTGCTTTAAATAAAACACATCACCTTAGCTTTAAGCATGAAGAGGCCGGGTTCTTTGGGTATAAGGACAGTTTTGTCCTTAAAAAAGTCTTTAATTGCGGACTGGACTTTTGAACATTCTGCAAATCCACCCACTAGAATGACTAAATCGACCTTCTCCTTATTGAAAACGTCCTTCAGATTTTGAAGTATCTGTTTAATGGGTTCATCGAAAAGACTCTCAAGCTCTTCAGCGTTTATAACCATTTCCTTGCTCATTCCTGGAGCATGGAGTTGTATCGTCTGAGTATCTGGCTTTCGTAGGGAGGATTGAAACTGATTTATTAAATACTGGGTAGTATCAGTATTCCCTGACTGTTCAAAATAGCTACTGTAATTCCTTCTTAGAAGATCTATCAATTTCCTGTTGACATTGTTACCTCCCCCGGGGCCCGTATACGGAAAAACAACTTGGTCCAATTTTTTCCCCAAATTTCCTCTTGAATGTACAGTGATATCCGTTGTTTCTCCTTAAAGAAATTAAATGTCAATTCAATAATTATCTGAATTACAATTACATGTACTATTAAAACACAAAAAACCCTCAATATACTAATAACAATATATAACTAATATTACTAATATCTACTAGTAGGATCATATCTAATATGTTCTTCGTGGAATAGATGGTATTTTGCTTTAGTAATCGAGTAATTCTGAAAACTTAAAGGCATGCATATAGAAAGAGATTTTTCCTGGACTTAGCAAATGATTTTGTCCAAAGAATATTTTTTTTTAAATCACTATTTATAAACACTTACCGCCGATGTCAACTATCATATATTTATCTCCCTTGGTCAAATTGTGAAAAGCCGTGTTCAGTGTGGCATCAGTATGCTTAGCATGTTGCATCTGACAGGAGAGTGAAACGGCATGAGATTCCAGTATGGTAAAAACTTGATCTTTTTCCAAAGATAGCTGCAATTCAAGGTAGGGCTGATAATACATTAACAATATTTTACTCTAAATGGACAAACACAAATCGATATACTACTGATTTATGGAAGTTGGAATGCATCTTTTCATAATGCATATGGATGAAGGATGGAGATAACGAACAGTATTCAATATCAAAGTCCGTACAACAATACAAAATAGGAGCAAAGCAAACACAGACCCTCCAAAACATCAGAGGTGGGATCAGGTGCCATGGAGGAGTGAGCATCCCCTGCCGACCGGTCACACCCGCTGTGTGCTGCTTGTCATAATCGGAAAATAACAGAAATATCCGTCGTCAAATCAGTGCATTAATAATGGACTAACTATCAGTATGAAAACGTCAGTCAGTATTTGACTCAATGATAAATTGTATTTGCTGACAAGGTCATTGTATTGACCATAGAACTTACGAAATGATAAATGATTATAGAGTCAACTGAGATATGTAAAATCCGTATTATGTAGGTGATGAAGGTATATTGCTGCATAAGTAAGGTAAATTGACGATTGAAAAGTTAAAGTCATCACGTTTATATCATAGAGCATAGTTGTTAGATTACCGTTAACGTCTATTTCAAGTAAAACATCCAAGTATGAAACAGATCTGTCAGACTCTGTGGTATTTTTTACATGTATCTAAGGCTCACCAGGATATATCGTATAGACATAGGAATGGAAATTACCATTGTTAACTGACAATACGTCGTCGTTACATCTAAATTTCGAGTTGAAAGCCACAGCAAGTGTTTTCTTCTTTTCACGCATAAGATTTTGCACATGGGTATCAACTCGAATAAATTTGTAGAAAATTAAATAATATTTATTTTTTATTATTTTTTGAATGTCCGGGTAGAATTTGGCTCTTTTCGTTTTTATCAATGAAAGGGGAAAGAGTCATTTAAAATAAATGTTCTCAGAAAATGCTTGAGTAGATGTATGACTTATTATTTACTTCACTGAGAGCATCCTGGAAAAATCCATCTGCTAGAGACCAAAATGTTGGCAAGGTAAAGACAAACTTAAAGTTACTCATCAGAACGTGTGCGAATTCTTCCCGAATATGTCTTATTGCTCGTTCTATCATATAAGAGGCACATCGGCTTAGGATGATTTTGGCACTGACATTTCTTCCTTTCGCGTCAGGTATTTGAATGCTCTTATCCATACTCTGTAAAAATGGACAAAGAAGAGATACATATAAGTGTCCGTCAGAAAATTCTTGGTTTGTTACCGGCTAAGGAGACGCAGTCACAGAGATAAAGAGAAAATGGTCCGCTTTTCGTTGACTTGTGTAGATATTTATGTTCATATTTAGTAAAAATTTAATTTCGTTAAAATGACAAATGTGTTCTTTGGTTAATAATGTACATAGAAAATATGTTAAAATTTGCAAATTTACAAAATGTACTGCAAAAGTATTTTACGCGGTCTTAGGAACCAGTCCACAAACAATTTTGAAAATCTAGCAAAGCTGTACATATCTTTCTCAGCTTTGTGCATATATACGAGGAGGTACTAATATCAAAAATAAAATTCATGGACCAGGGCCATAAAATTAAAACCGCTTTAGATACATCAATTACTTTTATTATGAGCAATTGACATCCAAAGAATCTCGTTAATTCAGGTTTGTTTTTGGACACTGTTGTTCCATAAAATATGGAATTTTTACAGATTCTGCATTACATTTTGCCATTGTGTACAGCCGAATAGAATTTTTGGATTTCCACCGCGAAACAGGGACACTACTATTTGTTCTATAATATTGAAGGGTGCCCATCTCTTATCCGCACCTCCTAGACCATTGAATAAAATTTGATGATAATTTTACATAGTGCCGTTGTACCTGTATACCTTTTCAAACTTTTTTATCGATTAATTATTTCTAGTCTCCCAGAGTGAAATCTGTACTTTGCCATTCTACTCATATGGGAGTCAAAAGGTATCATTTTTTAGCTCATAGCTCAAATAATATCTTTTTTTACCTCTGCGTTTGTTTCATATATCAAACTCATGAAGTTTTCGAAGTAAAAGACGTCTTCGGCTTCCTTTTGTCCTCGAAGGTGTATGTACTCCTCTCTTGCTTTATGTCCAAATGAATGAATTTGCAGGTCTTTATCTAGCAGAAGAACAGTTGGGATTTTTTCAAGATAGCCATGTTTGTTTTTGGTCAAACTAGCAGTGGTCTTTGTTGAAGTAATTTCCGATAATGCATAGCTTGAATATGTATTTCCAAGATCAATTGCCACAGCAAAAACGTCACTCTCTGGTAATGGTATTAAATCGATATCTGTATTTAAAAAAAAACAATTGTTTAATTGCAAATAAAAAAGATCAGTTCCTATATTAAACATTTCATATGCTAGAATATTACATCATAATTTCATAATTTCAAGTCCAACATATATTTCAACCTTAATCTGTTTTAACATAACTTTATTTTTCAAAGCCATAATATTATCTTATTTAAACATTTATCATTCTAATCAATCATCATTCATTATAAAATTGCTAATGATTGATGATGGAAATACCTTTTGTGCTTTTTTTTTCTTGAACATTTCCATATACTACAAAAAAATCATCAGGTTCCAAACCCAAGTCTAAATTTTGCATAAAGGGTTGAAAAAGAAGAATGTCTGTCAGCTTCTCTTTCATGTCGCCTTCTTTAACATCTTTTTCAAATTTCAGAAAACTTCCCCTGTTAGGAAACTCTAATTCGATGTTAATGGAACCCCGACTGCATATGCCTTTTGTTATATTATATGTTGTAAATAAATTATAAACAATATCAAAATATTTTTTGAGCACGTCTTCGTGTTTAGATGAGTCAGTCTTGTTTTCCATTTATCTATCATTTTATCAGTCTTTACTACAAGCTCTTGAATTTTCGGATAAGTGGATGGTTCAACATGGGCAACATGGGCAACCTTTTCTAACATCGACAAGGAATCCCTGATCTTTTCCTGATTTGAAAAGTCTCTAATTCCCTCCAAAATGAATTCAATGTTTTACAAAGAATATCTGGAAGGCAGGTGCTTGATTCTTCCTTCGTTTCGTCCTTTAAATCTAGATCAACTTTCAAAACCGAGTTGACTGTGGTTGCTGAAATCAAGCAAAACAAGATTCTAAATGTTTTGGGTTTTTTTACGAAGTGAATACGCTTACAGTAATAAAAAATGAAAATACAGTACATACAGTTATTTAAAAAGACGGGGGGGGGGGGGGGTAAAAATAAAATGAAAAAAAATAATATCTGGAAAATTTTAAAAGAAAACATTTTCATAAAATCATAAGGATTCATTCGAGTTCAAATAGTGTAGATTCAAATAATTTCCAATTGTGAATTTATACATTTACTTCGAAAGACGATACTTACTTTTCACATGCAATGGAATTTGTTTGCTCCTTCCTTTTCCGACTGGGTTGCAAACGATTAAGTGATATTTGGCAGTGTCTGCTGGCTCGATCGCGAGATCTTGAACCACCAGTGTTGGCCTTGACAGATCCTCGGAACTCCCTTTGTACTTAGGTATAGAAATGTTTATATTTTCCGCTTTGTTATTGACCAATTTTTGCCATTTTACGTACAGTGGGTCAGGAATACTGCATATTTCAGCAAGACATGAGAATTTTTGAGCAACTTTTACTTCCGTTATGTGAGCAACAGGTAAGCCTGAAATCAAATTTGTCATCAAAATATTAAGGTAAATTTTCTTGCAATGATTGCATTTAGTAAATAAAATATAGTGTTTCTTTTTAAATAAATACTTATATTACCTCCTTCAATATCAAGTTTTATTTCGTTGCTGATGGCTGTGCCTGTAGAATTCTCAACATAAAGTATGTATATTCCATAGTCACTAAAATCTATGTTGTTGATCAATAAAGTAGGTTTCTGCGGATGATCTTTGCTCCCCTTGTACTTCTCAGATTTATTTATACCTAATTCTATGGATTTTGAAGTTCTAATTTTAAACCACTGTGGAGTTTTTGGCTTTGGATATGATTTCACCTTTCCTTGCAAAGTAATGGACCCTCCAAATGAAATCTTTCTACATGCCTTGTTACAACGCACTTTGAAAAATTACGCACTTTGAAAAATTTTTTCAAAGTGCGTTAATTTTTGGGACCAGGTTAACGCACTTTGAAAAATTTTTTCAAAGTGCGTTGAATTTGGGACCAAATCAACGCACTTTGAAAAATTTTTTCAAAGTGCGTTAAAACTGTACATCATAATTTTACACCATGTAAACATTTAACGCACTTTGAAAAAATTTTCATGAAACAAAAGGAATTAGACTTATATTTTAGAAATAGACAACAGTATTATCCCCTTGCAACGTATGATGGGATATAGTGATGCGATTATGTGTGTTATTACTTTATGTGTATGTTAGTTTTTTCTGTGTGGAATTGACGTAATTTGTATCGGGATCTTTTTGGGAAGGAATGCTCCGCTTTGCGGTGCCCTTACTTTGATGTGTTTTTTTCTTAAAACTGATGGATTGAAGAAAACCAAGAAACGGAAAACGAAGAAAAGACTGGCTGAATTAAGGTCTATCAGCTCAACTCTTTATCATTCCCACCCAGATATATCTATTTCTATAACTCGTAACCTTAAGTGTCAATGATATTTGAAAAAAAAGAGCATTCTAAATAACGTAATTTGTATCGAGATCTTTTTGGGAAGGAATGCTCCGCTTTGCGGTGCCCTTACTTTGATGTGTTTTTTTCTAAAAACTGATGGATTGAAGAAAACCAAGAAACGGAAAACTAAGAAAAGACTGGCTGAATTAAGGTCTATCAGCTCAACTCTTTATCATTCCCACCCAGATATATCTATTTCTATAACTCGTAACCTTAAGTGTCAATGATATTTGAAAAAAAAGAGCATTCTTAATACAGTATAAGAACTGTACAAGGAAGTCTGCAGTAAATCGAAATTTTGTTCTTTTAAATCTCAAAGTCTATTTATGTTCATTTTCAGGAAAATCAGAATATTAATAACTAGCTGTAAATTCCTTATTTTTCGCGAGTGTTTTTTATCGCGAACTGGCTCTCAAACGTCAAATCGCTAGAATTATAATTCGCGAATGAACGGTTTATTAACAGATTTTACATAGATTTAAGCACCAGAAAAATAAAAGCGAGAAATATTTTTTTCTTCTCGCGAAATTACGCAGAAATTAATTCCTCGCTTATATTAAGGAATCTACAGTACCTGTCTGCTTTTCGATGTTAATTTGATACCATATCTGATAATCTCTCTGTTAAACTCCAGGTGTTTAAAAACACAAGTTTTGCCAAAATTATAGAGTTATTTCTCTTTGGTATTCCAAATAAGTAAGGTTTTATGAAAATTCATACAAATATCTATAAATTTTTTTAGAATCATTCCAATATGTTAACATTTGAGAATTGACTAAGAGATAGGCGGAAGAACAATACTATCGTTCGTAGTTCTTTACGACATTGAATGTTGACCTTTTGACCCCAAATTCAAAAGGGGTCTTCCTAAGGCCACAGGGATTCTGTTATGTTAAATTTCATTGCAAATGTTCAAAGGGTTGGCGAGATATCGTGTGGAAACGAAAGCGTTACAGAAAGACGGATGGACGGACAGCTAGACGGACGGACTGACAGATAGACCCAAATTAATATCTCCCACTTTTCAAGCTGGGGACAAAAAGTATCAAATCAGGTTCAAATGATAATTTATCATACCTAAGATTTGTAGGAATATTCATTCAATATTGACTAAGCCATGCAGAATTTTTTTTTCAAAGTGCGTTAATATTGTCGATATTAACGCACTTTGAAAAAAAAAATATTTTTTCAAAGTGCGTTAACCTGGTCCCAAAATTTAACGCACTTTGAAAAAATTTTTCAAAGTGCGTAATTTTTTCAAAGTGCGTTGCCACAATGCCTCTCCCAAAATTTCACATTTTGGCTCTCCTTAGGAAATAATTAATCAAAGATTTATGATTTCAAGCAAATGTAAAGAACATTTCATAACTGATTTTTATATCTGCAATAATTTACATGTGTATCTGAGAAAAAAATTAGCAGGGTAGTTATTTTGTCTAATAGCTTTATAGAAAACGGTTCGCTTAACATATTTCTTCCGCAGAAATGGATACACAGCTGCAGACAGATAGGCTTCTAGACATGATACTTTCACTATTAACTTTTTACAGCTGCGTATCAAGAACGGTGGAGGACTACATAACATACTTATATACCTTTCTTTAATCTTTAGATATACTGCATTGCTTCTTGCCATCCCCGATTCATTTTTCACTATCAGTTTATAATGTCCAATGTCATCTGTGTCCATATTATTAATGACGTTAATGACGACTTTTGCATTTTTTTCAATTTCAATGCTTCCACGATATTTTGGGGTAGAAATCTCAATATTCCTGCCTTCTTTCTGCCAAACAGCTTTTAATATTTCGTTTGCAGACTTAATAGTGCTGGTAATTTCAGCAGTTTTAAGGTATCTCATGAATTTTGGTTCTCGGATTTCAATGATTGGGAGTGCTGAAATATGTTTAGAACATGATAGAACATATCATGGAAAATAAGATTCTGAAATTATTGCTTTTTACTTAATTAATATTTGATTGCTTATTTATCGCTGAAACTGTTTGTTCATTCTCTGCCTTATTATAGTTGATGTATATTCTTTCTTACTGCTACGGTTGTTGCTTGTTTTTTTCTGTTAGCTTTTTCTCATACTCACTTTTTTCTCTAATTGTGATTTCAATTCCCTTTCTATATTCTTTTCCATTGATTTAAGACTCTTTTCCAGTGTAGTTTGGTCTAGTTCTGAGAAATGAATATCATCGATTTGACGTGCTTGGACAAATGTGCTCAATCTTCGAATTGCCTTAAATAAAAAAAAAACATGTAAAACAAAACAAAGGATATTCCTTTTGTTTTAACACATTTGTTGTAATTAAAAAGTAAAGAGAATATATCATGACATACTCAAATCCATATATGTCATGTCAGCCCTAGTGGCCCATATTAGATGGGCGCCATCAACTACCACATCTTCTTGAAAAGGACATAAAGAATGACAATAAGAGGATTTTTAACTGGAGTCACACACTATGCTTATAACAGTATTTTATACATCGGAAAAATTATTGAGGCACCCCCTACCCTCACAACTCCTACATCGATTAATATTGGGACTAATACATTTATTGACTGGGTTCGAGGGTAACATGCGTTTTGTTGGACCCAAGAACCAAACTGTCTGCCTGAGGCCGTTAGGCCGAAGGCTGACAGTTTGGTTCAAGGGTCGACAAAACGCATTTTGAACGAGAACTCTGACAATAAATGTTTTGTTATACCTTTCATTTTATTTTGTAGTTTTTGATATACATGTATTTTGTACTATATTCCGTAATGTAACATTAGGTCTGTCACTGTTTTACACCAACGAATGAAAATGAGATTAAGCTCCGCCCATTCTGTGACGTAAGCGGTCCAACATCTCTCCGAGCGGTCCAACATCGATTTTTTTATGCCCGCTCAGCAAAACATTAAAAATGTTAGACTTTTTTCGTATAGATTTGTATAGGAACAAATTTTTAAAGGTATAACAATTGATTGTACTAACATAATTTGAAATTCATTAAATACATCTACCGACAACAAAATCAAGGAATATAATGAGAAATGATTTATTTAATTGTGATAGATAGGCAAATCAACATGTCAGCGCAGGTTGATTACCAATAATCGTTTGACATAATATTCACTGTCATTTTTTGGTTAAATCAATATAAGCTGCAAAGATTTCAGAATTTTTCGTTGCAAAATTATGAATGACTATTTTAATGACTGAAAAAATCACGTTAATAAACTTCCGTTGTTCATATTTGGGCCGAAAAAAAAACTTTTTATAAGCTTCGATTGAATAATTGAATAAATTACACCATTGTCGTCTTGTACAATTATGATTTTTGATATGGAACTGTTTATTATACTTCTGTTCAAATGATTACTATATAAAGTTCTGAAGTTAAAATAACTTCTATAGTCCACGCATAGCAAAGCTATACCCCAGGGTATAGTTTTTGCTATCCACCCTTAGAAAATTTTCATGTAATTTCGCCGCCAATTTTGATTTCCAGCGATTAATCTATAGACTGGTGATGTCATAATGACTAAAGTAGCATTGTGGCGTCATCAGGATTTCAGATTATTCTTGCAGTATTATCTTACTCCAGAAAAATATCAATACTGGTTGAGGGTGCATTTTAAAACCAAACATTGTGTACAACCATAATTTAAATAACGTTTACTGTTGAAATAATTATTTTGTAACAGGTATTGAATGCATTTCAAATTTAACCCAGATTCAACCACTACTGAAATAATGTTTACTATTGAAACAATGATTTCAATAGTGATTTCAAAGGTGTTAAAAATATTGTTGCAACCAATGACAATATTCAAGTTGTTTCAATAGTAGCTGCACTTCCTGCAACAACTATTGGAATAACAACCACTAAAGAAATAATTATTACAATAGCGATTGCAACAGACCGCTCTCAACGTCCCGCAGTTGGATTTGAACGTAAGGATTGAACCTTACCCCACCTCTGTCGATTTTTCCGTGAAATCCTGGCTTACGATTGGTTGAAGTCTGTCAGGTGAAGGCGGTGGATTACCTATACCCGGTCAGTTGTAAATCTATACCCGGTTGATGAAACGTGCAATGACGAACATGCATTGAAACAATAATGTTAATCTTTTTAATCCTATATTAGATGCTTATTTGTACAAAAATGAATATATGTATTATGTAAGCAACAAGCAATCCGTGTATTGCAATGATAATTATTATACCATTCCCCTTTCGGCAAGTGTAATCCTGTTCCCATTATAATTTTTAAGAAAAAAAAACGTAATTCCGTCAAAATCATTGAAAAGGAACGTAATGTAAATTTTATCTGTAACTTATCAAGATACTTTCACATACCAGAAATCAGCTCAATATTTGCGAGCGTTCAGAAAAAAAAAGTGAAAAAAACCCTTAAAAATTAAAATGGCCCTAAAAATAAATGAAACAGAACGAAATTAAATTTAAATCTGAAACTCGTCAATGTACAATTACACACAAAACATCAGCTCATCCAATGAATGGGTGTTAAAAAAAAGCAGAAAAAGTGAGGTAAACAGACAGACAGCTAGAAAAAATAGAGGAAACTTATTGCGCCCTCCTCCGCTTTTACTGGTAGGAGCCAACAAAATCCAGCAAAATAAAAATGTGTTTCTTGCTTAACTGAATTATTCATTACCATACTAACGACAAAGAAAGCATTTTATTGTTTAAATATCATAAATAATATCTTCAGTGTACTTACTTGAGAAAGCTCCCTCCATTTCTCTTCAAATGCAGTTGATGATATTGACTCTGTATCCCTTTGCAGCATTGTAAATTCATAATGTATCCGAATTCTTTCTACATCATCTGAGGGCAAGGTGTCGTCAGGGTGGGGAGTATTACCCCATCCTTTGGAGGGGCTTTGAATCTCAGGAATGTTCTTAACTATTATATACAGCACAGAAATATCAATGGTTTCAGAACTTTGTACAACTAAAATTCATAAAAAAAAGTATACAAAATCTACAAAACAGATCACACAT